TAACATGTTTAAAGCATTAAAAATCATCGAACTTAAAGTTTACAGGTGCATTTTCACGTGACAAGAAGCAGCAAATAATTGTGTTTAGAAGATAGTTCTAAACACAATTATTTTCTATATTTCTATTGTCTTCTAGGAAAGATAGAATAGTTCCAACAGTTATGACTTCGAAAAAAAAACAATACTACAATTGGTTACTAAATTATAATAAATTTATTTTTGAACGTAAAGAATTTGAAAATAATGCAGCTGTTGCCATTGCTATGATTTTAAAATATCAAGAAACAAAAAAGGCATTATACTAAAAAGAAGTTTTGGGTTGCACCACTATTTAAAAAACAACAGTCTTCAATATAATATAATCTGAAGGAATAAAGTTTGTCATTAAAAAAAACAATTTTATCAAAATAAAATTAGGGCTGGTATTCATAGTCAAGTCTTATATTCAAGACCGTCTTAAGATTTTTTAGATACTCCATAGCCAATGAAATGTTCCATACAGCATATTCAGATAAATTCAAGACGGTCTTGAATATCTGACTATGAATACCGGCCTTATTTCAGCAGCACGTGAAATTGCACCTTAAGTCCTGGTCAACAATAGGTGTAATAAGCCTTAAGCTGCAAACAATTGATAAATCACAGACAAATAAAAGAATAATCAATTTTAGTTGGTCAATTTCTTACGGCAAAAGGCTTATTACACCTATTATAGACCGGGATTAACAATAAGTCACTCAGTCTTTGATAAGTCTTTCATGAGATCGTAAGTCAACTGAAAAATTCTCTGTGCTGCATCATCCAACATTTCTGGTGGAAGTTGTGGCGACTAACGAGTTTCCCCTCTAGACTGCATGTGGTCTGAGGCCGTTGGCGGCGCTAGCGAAGATGACCACTCTCGTTTGTAGACTCGTGCTGAGTAGTCGTGTGTCGTAGCGTACGAGATCCACCATCTTGGTCTCGTGCGCTTGTGTTCAATAAAGTTCCTGTTTTGTTACTGAAAACGAATTGTGAGATACTTGTCACCGCCCTAACGAGAACCTTGATCCTTGGCGTAGAAGTACGTGGGAGCTTAGCCAGAGATCTTATTGAGAGATTACCGACCAAATCCCCACATTGGTGACCCCGACGTGATCGGTGGACAAGCACCGACACGTTCGCATGGGCGGAAGACCAGGACACGCACGACGAGAGTCATCGCCGGCTACCCGCAGAGGACAGCGGAGAACGAGCCGGACATCAGCCACGCTCATCCCGGATTCAAGGCCCGGGTGAGCACATCGGCGGAATCTCTCCCGCCGGACGAGTCCAATCTTGGCAACGCCGGACGAGTCCCATCTTGGCAACGCCGGACGAGTCCATTTTGGGCCAACGTCCTTTCGGCGGACGAGGCCATTTTGGCGCGCCAAGCAGCCCGACAGCCAGCTCGACACGCATCACGCGGTCATCTCGGCGACGCGCATTCCCGCGCAGTCATCCCGGCAGCCGCTCGCCATTAGCGCAGGCGCGCACGGGACCACATCGGCGCGCAATCCCCGCGCGCGGGACCATACCGGCAGGGTGCGACCACCCCACGCACTGCATCCCCTACGAGCGCATCCGGCGTGTACCGTCATCCGACGGGAACGCGGTCAGCGCCGAGCAACGCCGACGGACGACTTCTTCAGCCCGGACTCTCCTTCCTCCCTGAGGGACGTCATCACTGCCGGATCATCGAGATCATCGCGGCCCGGACTCTACCTCCTTCGAGGGACGTCGCCGCTCCCAGATCGTCGAGATCATCGCGGCATATTGTTTATCCGGTACCTTCTTTTGTTTGTCGGTCGTGGGTCGGAATTTTTTGTTTTGTGTGACCGTCTCGATAGTTTTCGAGATAATAACCCGCGTTGCGTATTTTTAGTTTTTCTTTCGGTCCCAGATTTACATACGCGTTCTAGTGTCGTCTATTGCCGTCGTCGTTCTCTTGTCGGTTCATTGCTATTGCCGTGTATTGCTATTGTCGGCACATCGTCCGTAACATGGCCGAAGCCAACGCCGCGCACGTGGCAGCCTACCGGATGCCTAAGATTCCGCCCTTTTGGCGACAGGCGCCCGACGCATGGTTCATACAGATAGAAGCCTCATTTAGAAACGCGAACATCACCGTCGACCGTACCAAAGTCGATTACCTCCTTACCGGCATCGACGCGGAAACCATAGCGCACGTATTAGACTTAATTACGGCGGACCCACCGCCCGAAAATCTCTACAAGGCGCTCAAGGACCGGATCCTCGCAATGTTCGCGGTCTCACCGGAGGCCCGCTTACGGCAGCTTTTCAAAGGACAGGTTCAGGGGGAACGGAGGCCCTCGCATTTATTGAACCATATGAAACAGCTCAACGGCGGCCAATGCAGCGACGCGGTTTTGAAGTCGTTATTTATCGAGCTTTTGCCCGATGCCCATAAGGCAATTCTTGTCGCGGCAAACGAGCCGGACTTACAAAAATTGGCGGAACTCGCCGACAAACTCGCGGACATCAATAGTCCCGGCACCGCACTCGCGGTTGTGACCCCGGCTTCTAAGCCGAAGAGCGCGCGGGCAAAGGCCCCGTTGAGTGTCGATGAACGGGTCAGTAGACTCTCAAGACAGCTCCAGTCCTTGAGCACTGCGGTGGAGAAAATTCGCCGAGACCGTACCCCCTCCCGTAAGCGTTCCTCTAAGCGTGGTGGTGCAGCAGCGAAGCCCGATAAAACTGCGGGGTACTGCTACATCCATCGTAAATACGGAAAAAAGGCCACGTCGTGCCGCAAGCCCTGCACGTGGAAGGACGACGCGGACTCGGAAAACTAAATTGCTCTCCCCGCGTGGAGGCGGTCGGGGATATCGGGCACACTCAAAACCGCCTACACGTTTATGACCGTACCACCGGTCAGCGTTTTCTGGTTGATACGGGCGCGGAGATATCAATTCTCCCAGCGTCAATACGCGACAGGACAGTTCCTTCTGAGCTTAAACTGTTCGCCGCGAATAACACGGTGATTGATACGTTCGGCGAGCGTCGTCTTACCTTGGACTTGGGCTTGCGGCATCCAATCGGTTGGAATTTCCGTATCGCAAACGTGCCTTTTGCAATCCTCGGTGCCGATGCATTGGCACATTATAAATTACTTGTAACTTGCATAAGCGCCGGTTGGTCGACAGTGTGACCTCACTCTCGACCTCCGGGCGCGTACTCCCAGTACCGGAGATAAGAATCTCAACAGTCGACAAGACATCTAAATTTTCGGACATCCTCTCGGGTTTTCCCGAAATTACTGGTTCCGTCCGTCCGGTTTCGCTCGCCGCATGTGTGGTCGAGCACCATATCGAGACCTCAGGCTCTCCCATCGCGGAGCGGCCACGGCGGCTACCGCCCGACAGACTCAAAGCGGCTAAGGCCGAAATCAAGCGGTTGATGGAGTTGGGCATTTGTAGGCCATCCAACAGCCCTTGGGCCAGCCCTATACACCTTGTCCGGGCAATGGTGATTGGCGGTTGTGCGGCGACTACCGTCGGCTCAACGCAGCAACTATACCGGACAAATACCCAATCCCGTATCTGCATGATTTTACATGCAATCTGCTGGGAAAAAAGGTATTCTCCTCGCTTGACTTATTCAAGGCATACCACCAAATTCCGATGGCTAAGGCCGACATTCCTAAAACGGCTGTCATCACTCCTTTCGGCCTGTTCGAATTTGTATCCATGACTTTCGGCTTACGGAATGCCGCTCAAACGTTTCAACGGTACATCCATCACGCTCTTAAAGATCTGGACTTCGCCTTTGCGTACATTGACGATATTCTTATCGCTTCCTCATCTGAAGAGGAGCATAAGAAGCATCTTCACGCAGTCTTCCAAAAGCTCAAAGAGCACGGGTTAGTAATCAACCCCGCTAAGTGCATCTTTGGGGTTAGCGAGTTGACCTTCTTAGGTCACCATGTAAATACTGACGGCATCAAGCCATCCCCAGAGAAAGTGGCGGCTATCCAAAACTTTCCCAAGCCGCGCACTGTCGCGGAATTGCGTCGCTTCCTCGGCGCTGTAAATTTTTACAGGCGTAGCCTTAGGCACGCCGCTCGTGTCCAGGCCCCTCTACACACGTATCTTATGGATTCCCGTAAGAATGATAAACGGGAAATTGCCTGGACCCTCGAGGCAGAAACCGCGTTTGCTAGGGCCAAGTCCGACCTGGCTAACGCTGCGTTGCTAGCTCACCCGTCCAACACGGCTGACACCCGAGTGGTGTCAGACGCCTCGGATTTGTCTATGGGGGGCGTCCTCGAGCAACGGGGCCCTAAAGGTTGGGAACCTTTGGCGTTCTTCTCACGGAAGTTTACGCCAGCCCAGAGAAACTATAGTGCGTACGACCGCGAACTGACCACAATATACGAATCAATCAAGTTCTTCCGTCACTTCCTCGAAGGTCGAAATTTTAAGGTCCTCACCGACCATAAACCTTTGGTCTACGCTTTCCGGCAAAGGTCCGAGAAAGTATCTCCTCGGCAGTTGCGTCAGTTATCGTTTATAGCGCAATTTACCACCGCATTTGAACACCTGGATGGTGCAGATAACGTGGTGGCAGACAACCTGTCTCGTATTGAGGCCCTCCGCCTCCCGGTCGAGTTCGAATTGGTCGATCTCGCCAAAAGGCAAAGGGATGACGAGGAGCTAAAACATTTTAGCATCAAATTCCTCTTCCCTAAAATTAAAAAAATTTGTTTGGGGTTCCTCTAACTCAGAGCTCTATTGCGAATTATCAGGGGAGTCAATCCGCCCCTATATTCCAGCTCTCAGGAAGCAGGTCTTTGACCTCTTCCATAACCCCGCGCATCCTAATGCGAAAGTGACCGACCGTGTCATCAGACAACGGTATATTTGGCCCAACCTGCATCGCGATGTTGCAAACTGGGCAGCAAATTGTACGGATTGTCAGCAGTGCAAGGTATCGCGTCACGTTACTCTCGAGCCTGCTCAATTTTCTGCCCCCGACGGGCGTTTTGACCATGTCCACATGGACATTGTGGGGCCATTACAACCGTGTAGCGGATTCAGCTACTGCCTGACAATTATTGACCGTTTTTCTAGGTGGCCTGAGGCGATCCCTCTGTCCGAAATTACAGCCAAGAGCGTAGCCAAGGCTTTTTACAATAATTGGATCGCTCGATTCGGCGCACCTAGAGTCCTTACGACGAGTGGCCTTCACTTGGACACAGTACAATTGGACACGCTGCAAATAGACACGGTTCGAATGGACACATTTTGGTGTACACGGTTCAATTGGACACGGTTCATTTAGACACAGAAATTTTAGACACAGTGATTTTTGGACACATAGATAATAAATTTTCGACACGGTGCAATTAGACACGTAAAAA